GGAGCCTGGCTCTGCTTCAGTGACCCTGATGGAACCGAGTTGGGCAAGGAGAGCTTGCCCAGCATCCCGGGTAGGCCGGCCTGCCCCGTTCCAGTCCCTGCATTTGGGAGGCGACAGGGAGCCCCAGAACCTGCGGCCTGGGCCGCTTGCCACCCAAACAAACAATACATTCTTCTACATTCTGCTTGGGCTGCTAGAAATCCTTTGGCATGCAGCAAGCGGCCCCGGCGGAGTGGGAAAATCACTGTGGCCCCGGAATGGAGAATGGACGGGGTGGGGTGGGGTGGAGAGAGACTTGAGGCAGGCAGATATCCCGTGGTGCGCTCGGAGTTATCAGACAGGATTGGGATGAAGATCCAGCCAAGGAGAGAAGGAGTGGTCAGAGGGGTAGGAGCAGAAGCAGGAAAGAGAGAGAGAGAGAGAGAGAGAGAGAGAGAGAGAGAGAGAGAGAGAGAGAGAGGCAGAGGGAGGGAGACACACACACACACAGAGACAGAGAGACAGAAAGAGACAGAGACAGAAACAAAGAGAGACCCACAGAGACAGAGAGACAGAAAAAGAGAGAGACAGAGAGAGGCAAAGGGAGAAGGAGGAAGAGAGAGAGACACAGAGAGACAGAGAGAGACAGAGACAGACAGACAGATAGAGAGACAGAAAAAGACAGAGACAGAAACAGAGAGAGACCCACAGAGACAGACAGAGACAGAGAGACAGAAAAAGACAGAAAGACAGAAACAGAGACAGAGAGGGAGAGAGACAAAGAGACAGAGAGAGACCGACAGAGACAGAGACAGAAAAAGAGACAGAAAAAGAAACAGAGAGAGACAGAGAGAGGGAGAGGGAGGAAGAGAGACACAGAGAGACATAGAAAGAGACAGAGACAGACAGAGAGACAGAAAAAGACAGAGACAGAAACAGAGAGAGACCGACAGAGACAGAGAGACAGAAAAAGACAGAAACAGAGAGAGACAGAGAGAGAAAGAGATAGACAGAGATGAAGAGACAGAGGGGGCCATTGCAGGTGGGCTTCTCGGGGAGCGTAGCCACTGAAGGTAGGAGAGATGCTGGCCGGGCCGGATCAAGTGAGTTCCGAGATCAGAGGAGACGTGGGCATGTTTGTGCCAGGAGAGAGGCTGAAACCGAAGATGGGTGAATGACACAACGCGTTGACATGGAGATGCTTCTCCTGGCTGCACAAGCATAAACTATGCCAAACTGCTTGCCTTCTCAACGAGGGGGAAGGGAAGCAGGCAGTGAATTTGGAACTCAGCATTTAAAAACATGATTGTTAAGCATTGTTTTTACATGTAATTGGAAAAAATAAAATATTTTAAAACAAACAAGAAAAATGAAAGAGCAGGGATGACAGAGGGGGCGATCTGCTGGAGGAGACGGGATGGAAGGGGGCCACCGAGCAGGTGGAGGGGTCAGCCCCGCCTCATCATGGGAGGAGAGGGGCAGAAGGCACCGGGGGATGGGAGGGGAGGGAGCTCCTGGTGAATGGCTCGACTTAGGAGGCAGGGTCTGGGCTGGGGTGGGGGGGAAGCCATGGGAGGTTTGAGGAGGCTTGAGGAGGCTTGAGGAGGTTTGGGAGAGGGAGCTGATGAGGGAGGGAGCAGGGAGGGCCCGGTGGAGATGATATCACACAAACTGGAAGCGGACCCAGTGAATCACCTAGTGACTTTCTCCAGCTTCCTTCAGTGGAATGGGAGTAGGTGTAAAGGCAGGAGATGGTGGGCATGATCCAAGGCTGAGGCCCAGCAGAAACTGAGGCCTGCTCCCCCATCTCAATTAACCAGACAGACTTAATTAGCTTGTATTGTTGCTGCTGTTCTTTGGTCTTCGTTCTTGGTGAGGAAGGGGGTGTGAGAAGACTGGAGAAGTGAGAGGGGGCTGCATTATGCGGGGCTTTACATGCCTAGTAGAGCATAGGGCGTCTATCGAGTAGGGGAGTCACCCTCACTTTAGGAAAACCATTTTGGTGACTGAATGGAGAATGAACTGGAGGGGGGAGAGACCAGAGTCAGACAGACCTGCCCCCTCCCCTTCCCCACCCCCAGCAGCTATTGCCATAGTCATAGTGGGGGTGATCCAAAGCTGAGGCTTGTCTGGGCACAATTGGGGATATGGCAAAGGAAAGACAGATTGAAGAGAGGACGACAGTGTGTAATGGGATGGGCTCACCAGGTGGTCAAGATGGGGAGGAGTGGCTGGTGCAGGGGGGAGGTCCTAGAAGAGAACTGAGGGGTCAAGGGCTTGGAGGTCATGATGAGGATGAAGAGTAGCTATGAAAGGGGAGTCAGAGGGAGAGGCAAAAAGCCTACAGATTCAGAATTCTAGACCATAGAGGTGGCACATCTGTGGCTGATGGCAAGATCAAAGGTATGCCCATCTTTGTGTGTGGTTCAGTCAGGTGGAGAAATAGGTAATGAGAGGTGAGGAGGTTGAGGAATTGGGAGTATTGAGGAAGAGTCAATATGTATACTTAAGCGCCTTAGTACATCCGAAGGCAGGAACTGAGGAGGAAAGATGGCGAGCCCAGGATTGATCTCATTCCGAAAAAAAGGGCAGCAGACGACTGCTACCAGGATTTTGACTGGGTGGTAGATGTGCATGGAATGAACACTTCATGACTCAAATGAACAAGGCAGTGAGGTCACTCTGTGATGAAGGAAGGGGAAGAACGATGAGCAAGGAGGGTTCCATCTCCCTGCAGTCCCCCCCCCCCGCCCCCGAGAGTGAGTAAAGGGGCAGCCAGGGAGGCTGGTCACGGGGGGGGGGGGGGGGGGGGGAGCCAGACGCCAGTCAGAGCTAGTAGCCTGAAGGAGTGAGAGATGAATAGACAACATGAAGGAAGGTTTGTTGCCTATGGAAGACGCATTCCAGAGGGCATAGAGGAAGGGCTGGGTGGAGTTAGGATTCAAGAGTGGGGTAGGAGGGTTGAGGGAGGTGGGGATGAGGAATCAGATGGTGATGGGAGTGAAGATGGTGATCTGTAGGAGAGTCACTGGGATGGGAAGCGTCTGACCAGGAGTGAGCGTGGCCATCACTGAGTGGAGGGCACCCCCCAACCGAGGACAGGTACAACAGAGAGGGGTGTCCCGCCCGCGCCCTAGGGGAGGGCTGCGCTTCTCTGTCCCCCGGTTCTCACCTCCCAGCTGTAGGGGTGACATTGGAGTACTTGTGGGTATGATGCACCTGGGCAGAGTCTCCCCGTTAGACTGTGAGCTCCCTGAGGGCAGGGGGGGCGGTAGAGACCCCAAACTCTGGCCCCAGGCAAAGACCCTGCAGCCCCGCCCTGGGTACTAGCTGGTGTGGCGCTATCTAGAGGGGTGGAGACGCCCCCGAGGGGCTTTGTCTCCATTGATCCATTGATCACCCCCATTGATCCATCACAGCGCTTCCTGCCAGGACATCTCCCCATGTCCCCACAAGGTGGACGGGTGGCCTGAGGCCACCTGGAGGACACAGCCTGCTCCCTGCCTGTTTCCCAGCCCCAGGGATGGTGAGTACAGTCGGGAAGAGGCTGAAGATGATCTGGCGGCCTCACACGACCCCCGCTGCAGAAACATTCGTTGGAGGTGTCGGCCCAAGGGACTTAGCTCGAGCACGCAGACCTGCCCAAGAGTGTCTGTAAGTGCCCTGTTGTGGCCAGCCCTGCAAAGCCCCGGGGCCTGGGGGGGAGGGGGCCCGGGGGGGGGAAACAAGGGGGGGGGGGGGGGGGGGGGGGGGGGGAGGAGAACCAGACCAGGTCGAAGGAACTGCTGGGGTGACGGCGGTGATGTAATAAGATCTGCACATTAAGAGAGTCGTTGTTAGTGGAGCCCCAGGCAGACTGGATCAGGGCCGGGGACGGGGCTGGAGGCAAGGAGACCAGCCCCAAGGCTGCTGTAGGCACTCCACGGTGATGGCCCCGCGATCGACAGGGAGAACAACCACGGGGGTACGATGAGCTAGACAGGCTAGTTGCCTGGGGAGTGTTTGAAGGGAAGACACCTCCCCGCCAGGAGGCTACTGTAGGGATTCCAGGCTGACGATGGCTGCGTTAATGTGCTAAAGGGAGACCAGCCCTAAGGCTGCTGTGGGCAGTCCACGGTGACAGCTTGGGGAATGGAAAGGCCAATTGTGAGGCTATCCATGGCACTCCATTGTGATTGCCCGTTGAGGGCTTGAAAGTGAGACCATCTTGTAGGCTCCTGTGGCAGGCCAGGCTGGCTGGGTGATTGTGTGAAAGGGAGACCAACCAGGAGGTACCGGATCCAGTAAACCAGCCATCCAGATTGATGGCTAGGTCAGTGAAAAGGGAGGCTAACCCAGAGGCTGCTGCAGCACTTCAGGCTGAGCTCCGATTTACCATGAAGGCATGGGGTATTCCTAGGAGGCTACTGGGTCACTCCAGGCCCATCACCGAGTGAGAGATTGAAAGGCAAACCAACTAACACCTCTCCTGAGATCGGTCACGTTCAACACGACGCAGAAGGCCATCTTTTCCTGCAAAGCAAAACCCCAAGTTTTCCCAGCGTCCATCCTTGCTGATCTCTCTGTGACAGCACAAAGCTACCGACCACCCTCTCCTCCTGTGCAGGTGTGGATGTGTCCTTTCTAACTTGGAAGCTCTGTGATGCATATAAACTGATGTCAGATGGAAAGCAGAACCCCTACAGCCCTGTTCCTCACCACAACTCTAGAAAAAAAGATCCAGTGACTAGTAACAGTAACTCAATTTTTGTCGGTGCTCGAAGGGGAACAGCTGTCTTAATGATAGTCCCGTAAGGATGGGACTTAGCTAGACCCAATTCGGGGATGGAACGGGCATCTCCTGACTTCAGATCTTCTGTTCTGCTATCCAACAGCAACGGCAACAAGACTCATACAGATATCCATGAGGGAAGAGTTCCGAAGGGGATGTGAACAAAGCAGACTTGGTGTTATTGGTTTTATTTTTTTTTAATTCAACAAATTCAGTATTACAGTTTCATATATCTTTTATTTTTGCTTGTATATTTGAATGCTTTTTTTTTGTGGATTACTACCAAGTTTAGAAAAATGGAAAACAAAAGAAAAAGGTGAAGTCCCACATAACTAGTTATGCATATGACACTATAGAAATGTTGGCTGTTATTAGCTTATATATATGTATATACACACACAGACACAATACATACACAGATACATTGAATGTTTCAGTAGTTTTACTAAATAGGGTTTTTTTGTGCATCTGGAATTTTTTGGGACGATCACTAACCTTAGAATTACATAAAGTAAGGCTGACCCTAATAATATGAAATTGAATAGGAATAAATGTAAAATCTTACTCTTGGGCTCAAGAAAACTCCACAAATACACAACGGGGGAAGGCATGATTAGACAGACAATATTTTGTCTGAAGAAGACCTGGTGGTTCTAGTGGACTACAAGCTCAATATGAGTCAAATGTGATTCAGCAGCCATGAAACCAAGCGGGATTTCAGGCTGCCTGCCCTAAGAGAGGTATGGCTTCCAAAAGTGAGGAGGGCCCACTGCAGGCTCCCGTGGTCAGACCACAGCTGGAGCACTGCGTTCAGTTCTGAGGCCACAGCTGAGGAAGAACCGTTATAAGCTGGAGAGTGTCCTTAGGAGGGCAGAGAATAATGTCAAAGTGCCTCTAGTCATGCAATGAGGACTGGCTGAGGGAACGGGCATCGTTAGCTGGAGAAGACTTGGGCGTGATAACTGTCTTCAAGTATCTGAAAGGCTGTCACGTGGACAAGGAAGTACAAATCTTCTCAAGGGCCCAAAGGGCAGAAACAGGAGCAAAGATGTTGCCAAGAGGTAAACTTAGGTTGGACAGAAGTAAAAACCCACTAATAATTAGAGCTACCCCCCAATGGAAAGCGCTACCTCGAGTGATCCATCACAGGCGTCGGGCTGGACGGCACGTCCAAGCCCTTCTGAGGTAAAGCGACATGCCTGCGCCACACAGATATGGGTGGCAGGGTCGGGCTCTGCACTTCGGGCGTGCTTCAGAGATCATCTGCAGCTAGCGCCCACACTTCCACTGGGCTCTGCCCTCACTGGAGGGCTTCCTACAAAGGCTTCTTTAGGTTATAGTGGGGATTCCTTGGTGGGCAAGGAACAGAGGACAAGCAGACCTTGGGAGTCTCTCCCAACACACACATCTATACATGCATGCATGTACATAACTTATATACACCCCCACCCCCCATAATACATACATATATACACGTCAGTGGTTTACAGGAATCCATAGGTGAGGCACTATTTAATTCAGATGGTGCATCAGCACACCAGCTGCACTGACTTACACAACTCTGCTGCCACCTGAGGGCAGCTAACAGAAGGACAAGATGCAGGGTAATCTCTCCAATCACCCAGCAACCCTGGGAATGGTGAGAAATTCTGCCATCTTGAATCTCCAAGAGTCAACAAATGGCTAGTCTATGCAACTTTCCCCACATTATTCCATCCCTGCCATTAACACCCAAGAAGTCTGGGATGTGGGATGTACCAAGACGGCCTAAGGTCATTCTCTTTTAAAGAACGATGATGGAATTTTCTGTGGATATTTTTGGACATAATCGCTTCCCTATAAGCTACTCCCTCCCAGCGAACACCCCTTCCCACCCCCACCCCGTGCACTTTCCCTCAGTTTAGCAAAAACACTGAACATAGTGATTGCGAAGAACAGTCCATCTGACTCTTCATTCATTGTTCGGCTTTTCTGAATGGGGGAAGGAAACCATGTTTTCTCTGAGTCTTAGGGACCAATACTGGTCGCTGTTATTGCACCGGACTCTGTCGTCTCTGTCACTCCACGTGCTGGCCTTCTGGTTCCGTATACAAGGCCTGACAGTTCCTCTCCACATTGAGTACTGGTTTGAATACATTCGTGTGCCACAATTTGCTCACCCTCCCAATTTATGGGTATTTCTAGTTTTTTTGGTACTTGATGAGTGGTCACCTGCAAACTTCAATTGATGACATGAAAATATATTCTAAATCACTAAAAGGACGAGAAATTCAAGTTAAAACAACTCTTCAGTTTCACCTTACATTATGCAAATGGTAAAGATAGTAAAAGATGGGCACCACTGTAGAGAGACTGGGAAGACAGGCACCTTGAGGCATTTCTGGTGAACTTTGAAGTTGTCTAAACATTGTGACTTTCAATTTGAAATCATCTAAGTGTCTAAACTGTCTATACCTTTAACCCAGGTATCACACTACTGGGTACCTAGGCCGAGAAGTCAAAGACAGAAACAAAGGTCCAATTTATAAAAATATATCCACGGCAGCACTTCTTATGGCAGCAAAACACTTGAAACCAAGTGCGTGCCTCTTGATAGGAGGAGGTGCAACAAACTGTGGAAAGTGAACGTAATGGATTATTCCTGAGCAGCAAGAAGTGATAGACACGAGGCCGAGTGAGGTGAGCAGAGTCAAAAGAACCACACACACGACAACTAAAGGCAAGTCAAAATGAGTAACAGAAAACCAGTGAAGCTCGTGGGATATAACGAAACAGAATCCCCTCCCCTCGGGGCAGAGGGATGGGGGAATACTAGTATAAAATGATGTTTACATTGTCACACATGGTGTCTATCATTTTTCTATTAACTGTTTTGTTATAAGAGACGGTTGGATCCGGAAGTAGTGGGTGCGTGGCAAAAAACTATGATGTAAAAGAAAAAAAGAAATCAATAAAATATTTTAAATTCAAAATATTTAAAGGATTAAGGTCCCAGAGTTCAAATGATAAAACATAACTTCAGGACAGAATATTTACAGTTAGTCAGATACAGTCTTAGCATCACTATTTCTATATCAGTTTTTATCAAAAGACAGGGTTCACTTTAGGGATGTGTGGAAAATGTGATGTAAATACAAAAGGCATTGATAAAATGTAGATTTATAATACTGCTGTGATGAATTAGGGTGCATATTGGGCCTTTTTTCAATGGCATCCTTGGGGGTATAAAATCAGTGGTGGAATAGCTGGACCAAAGGGGGTAAACAGCTCTGTAACTCTCCTCGCATGATTCCAAACTGCTTTCCAGAGCACTTGACCCAAACTGTAACGTAACCAACAGTGTATGAGGGTGCCCATCTTTCCAGACTTATCCAAACATAGACTATTTCTTTTACCATCTTCACCAACTTGAGAGATGTGATCCCTCATTAACGTTTTAACATGTATTTCTCATTGTTAATGAACCAGAACTCTTTTTTGTGAAGTTGTTGAGTTTGTATTTTGAAACTCCTTTGACCACCTATCCTCTAGGGAATGGATTTCTGACAACTGTTGACATATTTTTGTTAATCCCTCATGTTTTGAACGTCGGGGATGTTTGATGCAAATACTCTTTCCTAAACCAAAAGCTTCTTACCTTATTCCAGTCGCAGTGACTTTGTTATTATAAAAATATTTTAATTTATGACCAGTTTTGTCTTTTGTAATCTTCTCTACCTCTGATCTGGTTATGAATTCTCCCCAACCCTATCTGTGAGTAGTACTTCCTTCCAGTTATTTTTGTAATGTGCCCTTTTATATTTAGATATCTTTGATATGTCTGACATCTAGAATCTATAGGGTATTGACAAATTCACAAGACTGAGTGATCCTCCAAGAGATAAATGGTCAAAGGATACAAACAGTCAATTATCATTACTCCAATCAAGTCATACTCTTCATTGTGGCGCAGAGGCATCCCTGGGTAATCAAAGGAATGAAAGCTGCCAAGTCATACACCAAGGTGGAGAGGTGACAAAGGAAGTTTGAAGAGGCTCCTAGCCAGAATGGCTGCAGGGTAAACTTGTCCAGCTAAAGCAACTGTAAAAGAACTTCTAAGTCACACAGGAGTTGTCTGCTCTAGCACAGGCAGTACCTACACTGATGAAATATCACTTATCTGATGCTTCCTAAGGAATCACCTAATGCCGCAGGGGTTCCTGCATTCATTGCATCTATTAGTTTCTCACCAGCATGGATTATCTCTTGTTCATTTAGGGGTCTGATCTGGCTGAATGGTTTCCCGTATTCATCACACCCAAAGGGTTTTTCTCCAATGTGGATCTTCTGATGTTTCCTAAGACTTCCGTAACGGCTGAAGAGTTTCCCACATTCATTACATCCAAAGGGTTTCTCACCAGTATGAAGTCTCTGATGATGAAAAAGAGATGACCTATGGCTGAAGTTTTTCCCACATTCATTACATTCGAAGGGTTTCTCGCCAGCATGAGTTCTCTGATGTTCAGTGAGGTGAACCTTCTGGCTGAAGGCTCTCCCACATTCACTGCATTCAAAGGGTTTCTCTCCAGCATGAATTCTCTGGTGTTTTGTAAGGTTTCCTCTCTGGCTGAAGGATTTCCCGCATTCATTACATTTAAAGGGTTTCTCTCCGGTGTGAATTCTTTGATGTTTTGTAAGGCTTCCACTCTGGCTGAAGACCTTCCCACATTCATTACATCCAAAAAGTTTCTCGCCTGTATGAATTCTCTGATGATAAAAAAGGGATGTCCTATGGCTGAAGTTTTTCCCACACTGATTACATTCAAGAGGTTTCTCTCCAGCATGAATCCTCTGGTGTTCAGTAAGGTGTCCCCTCTGGCTGAAGGCTTTCCCACACTCATTACATTCAAAGGGTTTCTCTCCAGTATGAATTCTCTTATGTGTGTTAAGGTGTCCTCTCTGGCTAAAAACCTTCCCACATTCACTACACTCAAAAGGTTTCTCTCCAGTATGAATTTTCTGATGCACAGTAAGGCTTACCCTCCAGCTAAAGGCTTTTCCACATTCACTGCACTCAAAGGGTTTCTCTCCAGTATGAATCCTTCTATGTGCATTAAGATGTGCCCTCTGACCAAAAACTTTCCCACATTGATTACACTGAAAAAATTTCTCCCCATTGTGGCTTCTCTGATGTAAAGCAAGGCGTGAATTGTTGCTGAAGGCTTTTCCACATTCATTACACTCAAAGAGTTTCTCTCCTGCATGAATTCTCTGATGTTCAGTAAGGTTCCCACTCTGGCTGAAAGTTCTCCCACACTCATTGCACTCAAAGGGTTTCTCTCCAGTGTGAATTCTCTGATGATAAAAAAGGGATGTTCTGTGGCTGAAGTTTTTCCCACATTCAGTACATTCAAGGGGCTTCTCTCCAGCATGAATTCTTCGATGTTCAGTTAGGCATATCCTTTGGCTGAAAGCTCTCCCACATTCATTACACACAAAGGGTTTCTCTCCAGTATGAATTCTTTTATGTGCATTAAGGTGGCCCCTCTGACTGAAGACTTTCCCACATTCATTACAGCCAAAGGGTTTTTCTCCAGTATGAATTCTCTGATGCACAATAAGGCGTACCCTCCAACTAAAGGCTTTGCCACAGTCATTGCATTTAAAAGGCTTTTCTTCAGTATGAGTTCTCTGATGTATAGCAAGACATGAGGTGTTGGTAAAGTTTTTTCCACATTCGTTGCATTCAAAAGGCTTCCCTCCACCATGAATTCTCTGATGTTTAGCAAGGTTTCCCCTCTGGCTAAAGGATTTCCCACATTCATTACATTCAAAGGGTTTCTCACCAGTATGAATCCTCTGATGTTTTGAGAGGCTTCCACTGCGGCTGAAGACTTTCCCACATTCTTTACATGAAAAGGGTTTCTCACCAGTATGAACCCTCTGATGATAAAAAAGGGATGTCCTTTGGCAGAAACTTTTCTCACATTCATTGCATTTAAAAGGTTTTTCTCCAGTATGACTCCTCTGATGTTCAGTAAGGCTTCCCCTTTGGCTGAAGGTCTTTCCACACTGACGACAATGGAAAGGTTTATCTCCAGCATGAATCCTCTGATGTTCAATAAGGCTGCCCCTCCGGATGAAGGCTTTCCCACATTCATTACACTGGAAGGGTTTCTCCCCAGAATGAATTTTTTGATGTACAGTAAGGTTTCCTCTTCGGCTGAAGGCTTTCCCACATTCATTACACTGAAAGGGTTTCTCTCCCGTATGAATTCTCTGATGTTTAGTAAAGTTCCCTTTGTGATTGAAGGACTTCCCACATTCATTACAGTGAAAGAGCTTCTCTCCAGCATGAATTCTTTTATGTTCATTAAAAAAGCTTCTCTGACTAAAGCCTTCCCCATTATATTGAAAGGGTTCTTCCCCAGTATTCATTATCTGATGATAAATAAGGGATGTCCCTGGGCTGAAGGTTTTCCCATACTCATTATATTCATAGGGTTTGTTTCCAGGAGTTACAGGGTGGAATGGAAAAAGATCTGGGTGGTAATCAAAGGGCTTTTTCCACTTATTGTACTTACAATGTTTATTCTCTAAGGACATTCCATTATATAAAATTAGGTCTGAAAATTGATCAAAGCTGTTTCCAAGTGGATCATATTTAAAAAGATTTTCTCCTGAAGGAACTCTCTGTTGTGGGACAAAGATTGACCCCAGATCGAAATCTCTCCCAAATGAATTACTTCCATGGATATTCATCTCATCAAAATTTTTCACATTAACAGTTTCTAGTTGACTATATTGATTCTCTTGGTTGGCTTTCTGCCTCTCTAACATGATGTCATATTCCCAATCTTCTCCCATCTTAGAATCCCAGAAACCATCTTTGGTGAGTTTCTCATCAGATGTTTCCATACAAATGATATGCTGTGGAATGGAGTCCAAGGTTTCACATTTAATCTCCTGATTAAGGGAATCTGAAAGAAACACAGAATTATCAATGTTCCCTGTTTTTTGTGTGAGGAGAAAATTCCATTAAAGAGAATGTTTATGAATTTGGGAAAGGCAGGAAAAACACTGAATTCAATTTAATTCACAAGCATTTTTATCAAGCTCCTGCTACAAGTGGAGGGGTGTGTATGTTCAGGATACAAAGACAAAATGCCACAGTAAATGCTTTCAAAAAAGCAGAGCATGGTGGAAGGAGGGACATGAGAGCAATAACTTTGGAGAAATTGGAAGCCCAAAGACAGATGAGAAGATAGCAACAGTACCCACAGTTAGACATATGAAATGAATTCTCTTCCAGGATTTTGGAAGCACTTAAAGGATCTCAAAAAACCATGGTTGGTAATCGCTGGGAAAATGTCTAAATTTTCTAAAAGGAGAAATCTGCTAATTCTGGAAACTACAAACTGGTAAACCTGCCACTGATCTCAAGTGAAATTCAATAAGTGATCAATAAACATGAAGTTTGTGAGTATTCAGAAAAGATCTAATTACTAAGACTCAAAGAGAGCTTATTAAGAATAAATCATGGGGGTGGCACAGTGGATAGAGCACTGGCCCTGAAGTCAGGAGGACCTGAGTTCAAATCTAGCCTCAGACCAAACACCTGACACTTACTAGCTGTGTGACCCTGGAAAAGTCACTTAACCCCAACTACCTCAAAAAAAAAAAAAAAAAAGAATAAATCACGGGGCAGGTAGGTGGTACAGTGGACACAGCACCAGCCCTGGAGTCAGGAAGACCTGAGTTCAAATCCGGCCTCAGACACTTACTAGCTGTGTGACCCTGGGGCAAGTCACTTAACCCTACTGCCTAGCAAAATAAATAAATAAATAAAATTAAAACCAAGTTAGTTTCTTAAACATTTATAAGATTTCTGGACTTGTAGTTATCAGCGACCTAAATGGAGGTGCAGGGAAGCAGAGGGGATAAGAGAACTGGGAGACAGGGATGAAGAAAGCAACTATTACATAGCTACTATGTGCAAGGCACTATGCACTTGACATACATTATCTCATCTGATCCTTACAACAACTCCACAAAGGAGCTGCTGTTATTATTCCCATTTTACAGCTGAGGATATAATAACGATAATCATAATAGTAACGTTTATATAGTATTTAAAGGTCTGTAAAGCATTGTACAAATATGATCTCCTCTAATCCTCAGAATAACCCTGGGAGGCAGGTGCTATTATTATTGCCATTTTACAGAGCACGAAACTGAGGCAGAGAGACGGTAAGTCACAGGGTCACAGAGCTAGGAAGTGTGTGAAGTCAGATCTGCACTCAGGTCTTCCTGACTCCAGGCTCAGTGTTCTAACCGCCATGCCATCAGCTGCCCTGGACTTCAGCAACATAGCTGATAAAGCCCCCTAAAATATATTTCCAGACAAGATGGGAAAGTCCCAGGATCACATGAATGTGTATGGAGTTATGCGCATCTGTATTTGGTGGAATAAACTTTTCCCAGGAGTAGTACTTTGTGGATTTTATGTCAACACCAACAGCTCTCTAGTGCCAAGTCTCAGCACAGGCAGTATGGTGGCCGCACGAACAAAGGGCCAGATTCTGGGTTGAGCACGAGGCCCACGGGCAGTTAGCCAGAGAGTCGGTAAACATTTATTGAGCTCCTACTAAGTGCCAAGCACTGTCAGTCAAGCATCACCCTTCCCGATCACTAACAATGGGCTTGGATAAGTCGCAAGCTTTCTCCAAGATTCTCTTTTCTCATCTGATGCGTGAAAGACTTACGTTTTGTTGGTTTTTCTGCCTGCTGAAGGATGAAATTACCCCTAAGATGAGCCAAGAAGGTATTTACTGATGGGAGAGGCAGTTTGTCATGTGACTAGAGTTGACCATGGAGTAAATAGGTCCTGGTTTCAAGGCCTATTCCTGAAACATGCTGACCATGTGATTCTGAGCAAGGAACATGGGCTGAGTGTGCTCAGATGACTCTCTAACACTCTAAGTTGAAGATCTGTATTGGCCACGGAGTTTTACAGCTGGGGGCTCCCTATGCTGATGAAATCACAGGTCTGGACCCCCCTCCAAAAAGTAATCCTTATACTGTTTACCTGATAGGTTGGTGGTGAGGACAGTGTTTTGTAAATGTGAACAACTAAAATGGGGATAATAATAACAATAACTAGCATCTATAGAGTGCTTTACAGAAATATTATCTCATTAGAACTTCAAAACAACCCTGGGAGGTAGATGCTATAATTACTCCCACTTTGATGATGAGGAAACTGAGGTTGGCAGAGGTTGTTAAATGAATTGCCTAGGGTCACACAACTAGCTGAGTGTCTGAGGTCACATATGACTTCTGGGCTCCAGGTCTAGAGTTCTATCCACTGTGTCACCCAGCTATCCAACAATAGCGTTGATCTCACGAGGATCAAAGGAGATTGAACACTTATAGCATTTTACAACCCTTAAAGTACTATGGAGATGTTCACCATCACCATGACTATTGATAGTGGACTATTCCACTATCCACTATCATCGTCATTACCACCACCATCATCATCATCATCAACACTACCCACCATCATCATTACAACCATCATCACCACCATTCTCATCATCAGCACCATCACCATTATCGTCACCACCACCACCACCAATCACCCCATCACCACCATCACCACTATAACAGCATCATCACCATCATCTTCATCACCACCATCACCATTATCATCACCACCACCATCGCCATCACTACAACCATCACCATCATCTTCATCACCACCACCATCACCATCATCTTCATCAGCACCACCATCACCATCATCTTTTGGATCAAATACGAGCTCCTTCATTCTGGGCTCCCATATCCCCTGCCAGCCTTATCATTCCCTTCTACACACACTCACCCCAGCTTTCTGCTTCTCATGAGAAATACACCATTGCCTCTACTTCTACACCCTGATGTGGGCAGCCCTCCTTCCTGGAGGACATTCCCCCTTCACCTCAGCCCCACAGAACTTTTAAGCAAAGGAAGCCTCTCTCAATCCCTTCCCCGGCTATCAATCAACCAGCCCACAAGTAGGTGTCAGACCAAGCTAAATCAGAAAGCCATGGGCAAAAGGGCCCTGACCCAGGTCTGGAAGGGTGGTGCTCCTGGCCTGAACCTGAATTAGATCTGTATCCCGGGAGGGCATCAGAGCTTGAGACAATTCGGATGGGATCATCAGGACAGGGTCTTTAATAAAATGCAATCCAAACATCCAAGATCGTGGTGAGGTTTAAATGGAAAAACAAAGTGGGGGAAAAGCAGTGGGAGGGAGTGGGCTGGTCCACATATCACCCTGAACCCGTGCGGGGTGACCACACAGACATATCCACTGCCCCCATTTGCTAAGCATTTCCCAGCCATGTTCTTGACAACCCTGCAGCTACTGCAGGGCTTATCATCCTCATTTGGAAAGTGACTTGTCCCCAGCTACCTGACACCCTCCCCGAACAACTGAACCAAAGAAACACACGAGACAGCTAACCAGATGCATACCTAATTACCAGGAAAGGACTCATCTCGGGACACAGCCTGGCCCTGGGACCACCTAGGGAAAAAACTCCCTCTACCCAAACAGGCCAGCACTGAGAGGTCAAGGGCCTTGCCTAACACCATGGTGTCAGAGGCAGAACTAGGAGCCAAGGCTGGCTCCCTATCTCCCACACCCAGCAAAGGCCTCAGGGCCTCCTGTGCTCCCAGGCCTTCTAAGTTCTGACAGGTCTCCCACAGCCTGTCCTGGCCAAAGAGAGCCTCACTGCCCAATCCCAAATCTTCAGAGACGGGGTGCCTGCCCCATGGGGATGCAAGGCTGGGCTCTCAATGGTGTGCCTGTACTTCTTTGGTGCCCCCACCCAGCCCTCGAGAAGCAACAGGGGCCTGGGGTAAACCAAGGGTACCAGGCCTGGGGGGCAGCGTCTGGAAGGCCCATGCTGACCCCCAGGACCCCTCTTCCCTAGCCTCCAGCTCTGTCCCGTCAGGATCAGTTACAGGCAGGTCAACGGTGAAGGCCTACTGCTTCGAGCGTCTCCAGCTGTCTGACTCTCCTTCCAAAGTGCCCAAGGGGCTATAATGTCCCTGATGACAACCAGGACCACCCAGCTCTGCCAGGAAAGGGCAGCAGCACGGAGAGAGGAGCAGCTCGGATGCCGGTGGGCTTGGGTTCTAATCCCACCTTAGGCACCCTGTCAGACCCGGTGTCCTCCAAGACTCCTTTCCACCCTAGACTGACTACTCTTTCGAGGATACAAAACGGAAAACATCCCATACCACTGAACTGACGGTGATGGAGCCTACGCTGATGGGGCTCACTCGCGCTCCACCCAAGTCCTCACCTATAACCAGCCACTGACAGAGGCACCGGCTGTGGCCCTGATTCAGAGAATGTCTGGAGGGCAGCTTGGAGTCAGTGCACTGGAAGGGACCCTCCCCCATAAAGAGCTTTCTGCTTCTACATCGCCCAGCCTGGTGAGGGGGGACAGCACTCGGTCACTCACCGCACATTCGGGCAACACGTCTGATGCCAGAATGCAGGTCGGGCAGCCTTCCAAGCCTCCGAGTGAGGAAAAACTCGGGGGGACAGTCGTGGAACCCCACTCAAGCGGCCCTAGGGCCGAGCACATGGGACTCAACCACAACGGCGGAAGCCTTTCTGAGAAAAGGGAGGGAGCTCGGGGTTGCAAGGACGCCCTCAGGCCCGTGCCCACCTGAGGCCTTGCACTCACCTGGGCAAATGCTTGTGGAGAACTCTGGCTGCTCCGGAAACAAAGGTACTTCCCCTCTCTCCAGCTGGGAGATGACCTCAGGTTTGGCCACGGGAAGTCCTGATGGGGACAGAAAGGAGAGGATTCACCACTGGGCCCCGAAGGCAACGATCCCATCTGGTGGACAGTGTGTGCTGGAAGCCTTGCAATCACCCAGGCAGAGGACATCAACTGAGTCAAACACCTGCACTGGACCAATTGGAAAACGGAGGCGGGAGGGCTCTGGTAAGGATCTGCCGGGTGTCAGAGGCGGCACTCTGGGAAAGCATGGGGGACAGGAAGCCATCCTGGACCTGCCGAGGTCACTGGCCTCTTGCTGCTGCTTGGAGGAGGCTACCTCCAGAGGCCTGCGTCCCCAGGGGTAGGAGGAGGGGGTGCTACTCATTTGCGCCACTCCCTGCCCACAGGGTACCCCTTGGGACCAGTCCAGTGACATGCTGGGTCTGGACCCTGGGCCCTGCAGCTGAAGCTTCTTCCAGGCGGCATCTGCCTCAGGAAGAGCGGAGTGCCTCTGAGCTTGGCCCAGTGTTTGGTGTATAGTAAACACTTAACAAATATCTTTTCCTTCACTCCTCTGCTGCAAAGACTGACCCAGAGAAGGAACTCGAACCCGAGCAAAGGTGTCCCCCCCCGGGAGCCCGGGCACAGCCGTCCTTACCCAGGAACACAAAGTGCTCATAGTTCTCCAGCATCACATCCCTATAGAGGTTCCTCTGGGGAGGGTCCAGCTGTGCCCACTCCTCCTGGGTGAAGTCCACGGCCACATCCTTGAACGTCACCGATTCCTGAAAGGCGGCCACGCTTGGACTGCGGAGCAGCCACGGACTGTTCATCCCAGGGACCACCGGGGACACCTGGAGGCAAAAAAGGCACAGGGGTCATTCCCAGCCGAGGAGGACGCTCTCCCTGCACACGGGAGGCTCAAGGTGGCTGGTGGCGCAGCAGCAGAGCACTAAGCCTGGGGTCAGGAAGGCCCGTGTTCAAACCGAGCCTCGGACACTTAGCAGCTTCGCAGCCCTTCACTTCTGCCTGACTCAGTTTCCTCATGAAATGGGGGTCATGATGGCATCTCCCTCCCTCTCCTGTAAGGATCGAAGGAAATGTCTGTGACGCACTTTACAAACCACAAAGCTTGAAGTAAGTATGTGTTGGGTCACTCAGTCGATTAGCACTGATGAAGCATCTACTATGCGCCAGGCACCGTGGTGGGGTGGCCGAGTGGCAGGGATGCTGAAAGAGGCAAAGGACGATCTCTGCCCACAAGGAGCTTACAATCTAATGGGGGAGACAACATGCAAACACATCTATACGAAGCAAGCTCCATACAGGATCAGAGGGAAGGCTTCCTGGAGGAGGTGGGACCAGAGTCAGAACGTAAAGGAAGCTGGGGACAGCGTTCCAAGCCGGTGGGACAGCCAGAGTTGAGTGGGAGATAGGATCCCAGAGATAGGAGCCACTGCTGTTTACAGAACGGGGCTGTGCCAAACGCCCCGGCCTGGGGGATCCAACCAGACCAGCAGAGGGCCGGCCGCAGGGGGCGACCCTGGCCTCGCAGGTCAGGAGGAGGCCCGGCTGGACCACGCTTCCTTGTGCACATGTGAGGAAATCCAGGCACCCCAGGGGAAGGCGAGTCACGGGAGCCGGGGCGGGGGAGGGCCGTGGATGCCCCACACATCTGCTGGAGGGCTCTCTGCCCAAACCGCAGCTGCCGGGGAGGACGGCTTCATCTTCAAAGGGCAGAGGAGCCAAGGAGGAGAGAACTCTGTTCTCTTTGGGATTCTCCCCAATGGGGGGAGGGAAGGTGAACCTAAGAGGGCCCCGGGGTGGGGAAGGGACCCTCCCTTAGCGAGCCTGTGCTACAGAGGCAGAGGCCACGCGGGCAGTCTGACACACGTGTGATGTACAAAAACGCCAGGATGGACACGCTGATGACGAGTGCTGCTGTGTCCAGGGACGAGGGATGCCTGCCCTAGAGAGGGGCCTGCGTCAGCTCGGGGCTGTCCTGGACTGCCCCTCTTGGGTTCTGTAATTTATTTGTTTGTTTTTTCAGGAAAAACCGTATTTTATTATGAATACCTCCGGCCCTGCCAAGTCCACGATTGTATCAGTAATTACTGGTCCAGATCCACTCTCTACTACATGAAATCATCATGGAAGTGGTTTGCACATGTTAACAGGAGTATCAGATTGTGTGACTTAAGTCCAACCTTCTCTTTATGGGTCGGGACATCCCGTGAGCCAAAGTCAGACACGCAGTAAGTGAAGAGCCAGGATCTGAACTCAGGGGCCCTGACTGTCAATCCTGCCCCATTTGCTCCTACTCCCTTCAAGGCCAGGCCCAGGAGCCCTGGGAAGGGCAGTCCTGGTCTGGCCTAGCCTTCGTGGCCACCATCTGGGAAAGGGGGCCAGCCACCCTCAGGGAGAGACAGAAAGCAGTGTATAGCAGGCAAATCAAACCATCACCGCATCTCCTCACGAAGACAGCTCCGGACCCCAGACCCAAGAGCTGTGGGAGGAGCAATTCCTGGGGTGCAGCCCCTACGGAGGTGACACCAGACAACAGCCCCCGGAGGAGGCACAGCCACAGTCCCCTCCTGGGGACCCAGAAAGGAAAGTTCTTGGTACCCACGTCCTGGGCCCTGGCAGGTGGCTCAACATCAGAGACTGGTGTGGTCTGATCAGTGGCACGACCATGAAAGAAGAGGCCTGACCACTGGCTCTGCTGCTGCCCCCCAAGGACCACAGGCAGGACCTTCCCATCAGACTTGCAGCTCAGCCCTTTTCTGGGTCTTGTCTCTCCCACTAGAAGGGGAGTCCCTGCAGAGCAGGGACCGCCCCTGGCACTTAGCTCAAGGCTTGGCACACAGTAAGCATTTAATAAATGCTTTACTCTTTCATCCACTTGGCCAGTCAAAAAGCATTTAAGTGCCTACTATGTGCCAGGCACTGTGCTACACAAAGAAGGGCCAGAGACAGTCCCTGCCTTCAGGGAGCTCCCAGTCTAATGGGGAGACGAAGCAAACCACTCTGTACAAACAAGTTACAAATGGTGCACAGATGGGAGGTAATGGACAGAAGGAAGGGTCTGGCATTAATGATGAGAGAGAAAGGCTTCCTGTGCACAGTGGAGTTTTAGCCAAGCCTTGAAGGGCGCCTGGAGGCAGGAAGGTGGAGGAAGAGCATTCCAGGAGGCCTGGGGTAAGGTCAGAAACTGGTCAGAGCTGAGCGATGGAGGCCGCTGCTTCTAGACCAGAGTACATGAAGGTGGGAATAATGTGTCAGATGGCGAGCATTTTCTCTTTGACTCAGAAGCAGGAAAGGAGGCCCTGGAGCCTACTGAATAGGGGAATGACACGGTCAGACTCGCACTTCTGACAGATGAGCAGACAGACAGGAACGGGGACAGACTTGCGGCCGGGACGCCCAGCAACAGGCTCCTGTAGCAGTCTGGGCCCACCCTACAGACGTCACAAAGGCGTCAGACCATCAGCAGGCCTCGGCACCAGTGTGGATCTGGGCGCAAGGGATGGCGAGGAGCCCAGGAGCACTCTTGGGTGCAGGGTGGGTGACCGGGAAGGCAGGAGGCAGGGCGGGCTCCAGTTCACACACGCTGAGCACTTAGGGAGTGCTCACTAATGGGCACTTCTGCCTCACCCTGCGATGACACCGATCCTCTCTGAAAGCCAAGGCTGTGAAGCTCTGTACAACTGCTCTCTCATTTGAGGGAAGGGCTGTTACGACACCTGTTTTATAGATAAGGAAAGTGAGGCAAACAGAAGTTAAGTGACTGGCCCAGGGTCACACACAGAGTGTATCTAAAGCTGGATTTGAACGCAGATCTTCCTGACCCCAGGCCCAGGGCTACCCTCTGGTTCAAGATATCCAGTAGGAATTTGGAGATGCAAGCCTGAAGTCAGATTCGTATCAGGGCTAGAGAAATCAATATGACAATCCACAGTAGAGACAGGAATCTATGGGAGCTGATGAGATCCCCACGCGGTAGAGTCTGGAAGAAGAGAAGAGTGGATCAGCCAGGAATTGGCGGATGTGGGCTTGGGGAGCTGAAGATGAGGGGGCGGTGCTGCCCTAGGGACAAGCGTGAGGCCGAACGTGGGACATCTGGTAGGTAGCCATCTGCCCCGTTTGCCTGGGCTAGCCTCATGTGTCCACAAGGTACCTTGGATCCTGCCTGGAGGAGACCACACACCTCATCTAAGCAGCCAACCGGGAGCAGGGGACCGGGAATGAGGAAGACGAAGGCCTGACCTGGGGAGCTGATGGCATGAGCAGATGGGAAGAGATGCTGAAGAAACAGAAATGCCAAGGCTCGACCGGTGGGGTGATTAAGGAGTTGAGAAGGATGTGGAGGTGGAGGCCTGGCTGATGGGGGACACATGGAAGTTTGGGCCAGAGGTGGGGGAGGCGAAGGAGGAGCTCTGTTGTCTCTTGGTGTGACACAGCGGTCAGGAGGAAGGACGATGCCAGGGGACAAACATGAAGGACGGGACAGACAGAAGTAAATCGTGGAGCTGCCCCAGGCAGAGCGAGCCCGGGCTGGTGGGAAGGCCAAGGACAAGAGAAGAGCAGGCAGGCTCCCACGGTAGGGACAGAAGGATGCGACCCGACCTGCCAAAAGGCTGAAAGAAGCAGGCAGGGCAGCTCACGAATCCTTTGTCCCCATTTCCTCTGCCTCGAAAGGCCAGAGCCACAGTTCTGGACAGGGAACTGAGCTCTGGGAGGGTCAGCCGTCCGTCACCAAGGGGACACATCAGAAGGTGCCACACGGATGCCTGACTGGCAAGGGCCAAAGGCCCCACAGATCAAGGAGAAAGGAAGAGGCCAGTAACCTTGACTCTGAACCCCCAGCTGCTGGTCTGGCAAGAAGCATTTAGTGAGCGCCTGGCACGTGCCCCACATCCACAGGAAGCTCAACGCCTTAGGAGAGCCCTTCCTCGAATCATTCCCTTTGTTTCTGGACTTCTCATCCCCACAGAACAGAAGCTTTGGGGAGGGACTGGTTCCTCCCTCCCACACACTTAAAAAAACAAACTGCATCCCCAGCACTTCACAGCGCACCTGGCACACAGGCCTGTTAACAGATTCCTTACAGAGCTTTGGAAGGGGTTATTGGGACATGACTGTTGTGGATGTAGAAAAAATGTCATCTTGTCCTGGGGTCCAAAAATGAACTTCACCAGCACGTCAGGGGGGAGGCACGGTGGCCACTGACCTGAAGAGCTGAGGGTGGGGAGATGTTGTGTGGTGGCCACAGAGAACAGCGTCTGGCGTTGCTGGAGGGGGCGTGGCCCCACTGCCCAGAGAAAGGCCTGCAACTGAATGGAGTTCTCCAGCTCTTCATTCTTGGTCTTTTGTGGGGCATCCGACTGTCAGGGACCCCGCTGGGGTGAGGGGAGGGGAGGTCAGTGGAAGGAGCTAGAGAAGAGAAGAGCTGGGAGCCACCAGAGCCTTCTCGGTGTCCTAGGGGTTGCCCCGGGTGGGGGGCAGAAAGAAGCTAGAGCAAGCTTTCAGGCTGAAGTCAGGAAGAAGGACCCCGCCCCTCCCCGACGCCGGGAGCGACCTGCCCACTCCTGACAGGGAGGGGACAGACTCAGAGGCAGGCAGAGCCGCACTTCCTGTTACAAGGGTTGTGCTTGGTTTAGTTTTTCAGTTAGGGGAAGGAGGGGGTGGGAGAAAAGTGCTGGACGTGAGTCAGGAAGACCCGAGCTCGAATCTAGCCTCGTGGCAAGTCATTTCACCTCCATCTGCCTTAGGTTCCTCATCTGTGGAATGGGGACGACTAATCTCCCCCATGGCCCAGGGTGTTGTAAAGTGCTTACCCCAGCACCTGGCTCTC